AAACTATACAAATACATGGAAATTAAACAGCATTCTACTTAATGACATATGGGTCCAAGAAGAAATCAAACAGGAAATAAAAAAAAAATTTATTGAAACTAATGAAAACAATGATACATCATACCAAAACCTGAGGGATACTGCAAAAGCAGTAGTAGGGGGAAATTTATTGCATTAAATGCTTACTTCAGAAGAATGGAAAGATGGCAGTGAATATCCTAATACATCACCTTAAAGAACTACAATAACAAGAAAAATCCAAACCCAAAGTTAGTAGATGGAAAGAAATTATTGAGATCAGAGCAGAACTTAATGATATGGAAACTCAAAAAATGATACAAAACATCAATGAATCGAAAAGTTGGTCTTTTGGAAAGAAAAATAAAATTGAAAAACCATTAGCACAACTAACTAAAAAAAGAAGACAGAAAACCCAAATAACAAAAATTAGAAATTAAAAAGGTGATATTACAACTGATACCTCTGAAATACAAGGAATCATTTGAGACTACTATAAACAAATATGCCAACAAATTTGAAAATCTGGAGGAAATGGATAAATTTCTGGACACACACAAACTACCAAAATGGAGATAAGATCATGTAGAAAATCTGAACAGATCAATAACAATAAAAGAGATTGAAGCTGTTATCAGAAGGCTCCAACAAAGAAAAGTCCAGGACCAAATGGATTCACAGCAGAATTCTACCAAACATTCAACGAGGTATTGACACCAATTCTCTACAAACTATTCCAAAAGATTGAAACAGAGGCCATTCTCCCAACGTCATTCTATGAGGCAAACATCACCCTGATACCAAAACCAGGTAAAGATACAACAGAAAAAGAAATCTACAGGCCGTCATTCTATGAGGCAAACATCACCCTGATACCAAAACCAGGTAAAGATACAACAGAAAAAGAAATCTACAGGCCAATATCCTTTGATACAAAAATCCTCAACAAAATATTAGCAAAGAGAATACAGCAATGATGAATATAGGCAAAAAAATCCTCAATAAAATACTAGCCAACAAAATACAGCAACACATTTGCAAAATTATGCACCATGATCAAGTGGGATTCATCCCAGGGATGCAAGGTTGGTTCAACATATGCAAATCAATAAATGTGATACACCATGTCAATAAAATCAAACATGAGGACCATATGATCATCATCATAGTTGCTGAAAAAGTATTTGATAAAGTTCAACACTCATTCATGATAAAGACTCTCTACAAGTTAGGTATATCTTAGTATCTCAACATAATTAAAGCCATATATTATAAAACCAATGCCAATATCATCCTGAATGGGGAAAACATGAAAGTCTTCCCTTAAGACAGGAACTAGACAAGGATGCACACTCTCACCACTCCTATTCAACATAGTGTTGGAAGTACTCGCCAGAGCAATCAGAGAAGAGAAGGAAATAAAGGGCATCCAGATTGGAAAAGATGAAGCCAAACTGTCCCTGTTTGCAGATGACATGATCATATATATCGAACAGCCTAAAGCCTCTACAAAAAAACTCTTGGAGTTGATAAATGAATTCAGCAAAGTTGCAGGATACAAAATCAACACACAAAAATCAGTAGCATTTCTATTCTCCAATACTGAACATGCAGAAAGAGAAATCAAGAAAGCTTGCCCATTTACAATAGCAACCCAAAAATAAAATACTTAGGAATAAAATAAACCAAGGATGTGAAAAATCTCTATAATGAGAACTACAAAGCACCACTGAGAGAAATTAAAGAGGAGACAAGAAAATGGAAAGATACCCTGCATCCTTGGATTGGAAGAATCAACATTGTGAAAATGTCCATACTTCCCAAATTGATATATAAATTCAATGCAATCTCCATCAAAATTTCAATGAAATTTTTCTCTCAAATGGAAAAAAACTATCCAGACATTCATATGGAATAACAAAAGACCACGCATAGCCAAAGAAATTCTGAGCAAAAAAAAAAAAAATAAAGCTGGAGGCATATCACTACCTGACTTTAAACTATACTACAAAGTTATAATAACCAAAACACCATGTAACTGGCATACAAACAGACACACTGATCAATGAAATAGAATAGAGAATCCAGAAATCAACCCACACAACTACAGCCATCTGATCTTTGGCAAAGGCACCAAGACTATATACTGGGGAAGAGACTGCCTCTTTAGCAAATGGTGCTCGGATACCTGGATATCCATATGCAGGAGAAAGAAACTAGATGCATACCTCTCACCATATTCTAAAAACAACTCATAATGGATTAAATAATTATGTATACACCCTGAATCAATATAACTTCCTAAACAAAACCTAGGAAAAACACTTCAGGTAGTAGGACTGGGCACAGACTTCATGAATATGACCCCAAAAGCATGGACAACCAAAGGAAAAATAAACAAATGGGATTATATGAAACTAAAAAGCTTCTAAACAGCAAAAGAAACAATTAACAGAGTTAGAAGACAACCAAAACAGTGAGAGAAAATATTTACAAAATATGACAAAGGACTAATATCCAGAATATACAAGGAACTAAAACAACTTTGCAACAAAAAGCAAGTAACCCAATTAAAAAATGGGCAAAAGAGCTAAATAGGCATTTCTCAAAGGAAGATATACAAATGGCCAACAGACACATGAAAGAATGCTCAACATCACTCAGCATTCGGGAAATGCAAATCAAAACCACACTGAGATACCATCTCACCCCAGTTAGGATGGCTAAAATCCAAAAGACTGTGAATGATAAATGCTGATGAGGTTGTGGAGGGAAAGGAAGTCTCATACATTGTTGGTGGGACAGCAAAATGGTGCAGCCTCTATAGAAAGTGGTATGGAGGTTCCTCAAACAATTGCAGATAGATCTGCCATATGACCCAGCTATCCGAAAAGATTATAATTTCTTCATGTTTTATAAATCAGCCAGGAGCCTAAGACACCCTGATTCACACTTGTCATTTCTCTTTTGCCTAAAATTTCACTTATCTAGTGAACAGTTTATTCCTGAACATGAAAGAGAATTTCATGTGTTATTAAAGCTATTAATTAAGGGCTGGCCCCGTGGCTCACTTGGAGAGTGCAGTGCTGGTAGTGCCGAGGCCGTGGGTTTGGATCCTATATAGGGGATGGCTGGGGTGCTCACTGGCTGAGCGTGGTGCAGACCACACCGTGCTGAGGGTTGCGATCCCCTTACAGGTCAAAAAAAAAAAAAGCTATTAATTAAATACTCAAAGAAGAATGTTCCCATTGAGAATATCAATAAAAACCCTATAGCTACCTTTGGATTTTTTTTTTATTTTCCAAAATAAACCGAAATATATAAAAAATCAGTCATTGGTTTGTCTTTTAGTTAAAAGAAACTGGTCAAAAACACATAATCATATATCTAGGAGCATACAGGAACAACAACTTTCAGTATTAGGACACTAGCAAGCCACAAAAACCTGGCCATAAACTTGTTAGTTTTCCTGGAAAGTAGTATTTCTTTGATTACGTTTTGGGTATTTCCTATTTTAGGACCATTCAGCTTTTCTGCTCTAATAGCTTGTCGGGATACACAGTTAGTAAGATGCCAACAAGGTCACGTCTGTGTGGTGCTGCCTGGTTGTTATTAGATTCTAATAGCCCACATTTCTCAAATTAACACCTTCCGGTAGGCACCTAATAAATTATTAAGCTATTCAATTTGGATTTTCAATATTATTTGGCAGGAGAATTTAATGAATTTTTTAAAATGTACTTTCCCATCTAAAATGATTTTTCATTAATTTTTACCACTCTGTTTTTTTTCTTTTCGGCAAATAATAAGCCTTAAAGAAGACCAATGAGAAGACCCAATTAAAAAAGAAAATAGCTATATACTATGGAAATTTAAAATCAATAATAATAGTAGTAGTAATTGTGGTGTTAGTAGTAGTAAAATAAACAAGTTACTCAGGTCTGACATTTAAGTTTTGAAAAGCTCCCATTCCATACCAGATTTAAAGTCTCTCACCAGGGTTGCAATCTGTAAGAAGTGAGCAGATGGAGAGGAGAACTTTAGAAATAGTGAGGGCCGGACTCCAGTTGTCCTTTAGGATGTCCAGACAGATCACGCCTTGGCTGTTAATATTACAGTGATAGATTCTTGTTCGGAAGGTAACCTAAGAAGAAAATGTAATGTTGTTACAAACAGATACGTCTTTTATTAGACAGAATAGCCCAGCTCACTGGTTAAAATTTACTTGACTTTTCCTTGGACACATGAGAATAACCAATAAACAAAAATCATCATTTTAGAACTTGTCATTCTGGGCACGGAGAACTAAATGCCAACAGCATAAATGTGATATTCAGCTTGTAATGAAGAGTTCTGTTATTTAACTAATGTTCTGGAAACTGAATTTATTTATTTATTTATTTATTTGTTTGTTTCTTTGTTTGTTTGTTTTGATGAACACTTGACCTTGGCGTTATAACACTGTGCTCTAACCAACTGAGCTAACCGGCCAGGTCCTGAATTTACTGCTGATGCAATTATAGCTGTGTTCATGAGGAAAAAACTGACTCTGACCTCTGAAAAATTTTAAAGAAAACTTTTGTTGAATTCTAGTTGTATTAGGATTTTGGACATTTATAAGATTCAAACACTAAAAAGCAGTATACTAATAAAAATAAAATAAATGTTCTATAACATGGTTTTAAAACATGAATTAGGCCATATATGCAAATAATATGCTTAGTTTATAGAACTATATTAGTTATAACTTACTATATATAAACCATTCCTACACTGAAAATATCATAAATTGAAAATGCATTTAATACACCCAACCTACAGCCCAACCTAGTGGCTTAGCCTACCTAACTTAAATGTGCCCAGAACACTTACATTTGCCTACAGGTGGGTAAAATCATCTAATGCAATGGCTATTTTATAATAACGTATTGAATATCTCATGCAATTTATTGAACACTGTACATTATGTTGAAATTGCAATGATTTCACTCTTTTATTCTAAAGCCAAAAAATCATTAAGTCAAACTATCAAGTTGGGGACTGTCTGTATTAGTTATACAAGTTGAGTGTCCCTTACCCAAAATGCTTGGGACCAGAAGTGTTTCGAATTTCTGGTTTTTTGGATTTTGGAATACTTGCATTATGTTCACTGGTTGAGCATCCCTAATCACAAAATCTGAAATCCAAAATGCTTCAAAATGAGCATTTCCGTTGAGTGGCATGTCAGCACTCAAAAAATTTTGGACTTTGGAGGATTTCGGATTAGAAATGCTCAATTAGTTACAATTAACAAACTTTTACTTCTTAAATTCTGTGTTTTGAATGTAATATTAGTGCAGCCTTCCCTTTCCCTATGATAGCTAGATCGCCACTGTACTATACTCGCATATAACTTTGAAACATGGTTATAACATTTTTTTTTTTTTTTGTCTTTTGTCTTTTTCCGTGTCCGGCAACGGATCGCAACCCTCAGTGTTGCCCCCGTACCGGACCGGGGACCGGCAACGGGATCGCAACCCTCGGTGTTGCTCCCGCACCTCGCTCAGCCAGTGAGCGGGAACCGGTCTGTATGTGGGATCCGAACCCTCAGGCGGGAGCGCCGCCGCGCTTTCCAAGCGGCGCACTTATCCAGTGCGCCACCGGGCCAGCCCAGGTTATAACATTTTTTAAAACTTCAATTGAAAAAAATTAAGTACAAATCAGTTTTATAACCGCTAAAACGTTTTATAAGTCTTATGTAAGCAACAGTAAGATTTTAGTGCTATTTATTATGTTTATAAATATTGCCAAATTTATAAGTTGAAAAATACAAAAATCTTGATGTTCTAAAGACTCGTTTTCTGGAACCCTAAGTTCAAAATGACTCTGAACCAAGAAAAACACACATGGCAGATTTCTGTAAGTGCTGCCACCCCACCAGGGCATCCAGCATCCATTCAAACATCAGGAGATTTATGTAACACATATGACGTCAAGCCTCAGTAAGGACAGATCCAGAGTCTTCTACAGTTGTTGAACAACATGCCACCATTCTCGGGCTCGGTTAGTACTCCTAATAAAAACTGTCCTTCCAGCATTATACCACACAAGATAATCTTGACATTATTCCCTACACACACGGATCTCAAGTGCCTAGAAATGTTGAAAAAAATATAACCAACATTCTTTAAAATGCACAGCTAAATATGCAAACTGAATCCCCAGGGGTCAGAATTTACAGTAGGACAGTGCAGCAGTCAGGGGTGGGGTTTGGGGAAGGGGGACAGGAGTGAACGACATTAGTCAGTCTTAATAAAATGGAGGTTTGAGTTTTGATGCCCTTATGGAGAAAGACAATGAAATCTTAGGCCTGCATGTGACAAAAGGTTGGAACTGAGAACTCTTACATCAATTAGGCCACTTGAGTGGCTAGTTTTTCAGTAAATGGATGATATGCCTTATGGGTGAGATAGCAAAAGAACTTGCCAGAGAAAGCCTGAACTCTGAATTGGGGAGAGAAATGTCTCCACTGAGAATTCTAAATCACAGACACATATATTATGCAAACACTAACTACAAAAGAGCTTAAATTGCTATATTACTATCAGATCAGATACATGTTTAAGGTAAAAAGCATTGTTAGGAATAATGAGGGTGACTGCATTATGATAAAATGAACAACTCATCAGGAAAATAATAATTCTGAATCTGTTGTACCTAACAATATAGCCAAAAATATACAAAGTAAAAATTGGCAGAATTATAAGGAAAAAATGACATATCTACAGTCAAAGAAGAATATTTTCACGATAGTAACTGATAGGTCAATCAGACCAAAAATTGGTAAGGATACTGAAAATTCAAACAACCAAATAAATAAAATCAAGGATCTGAATGAACATAAAATTCTACACTTAACAATTAAAGAATACATATTCTTTTCAAGCACATAAAAATATTTACAAAGTTGACCACATGCTAAGCCACAAAGGAAACTTAACATATATCAAAGAATTGATATTATCAAGACCATAATGCAAAGGCAGAATCTACACATAAAAGATTCCCCCATCATATGTTTGGAAACTAAAAAACACATTTCCAAATAATTCTTGGATCAGAAAAAAAAAATCAGCTACATTTATAGCTGAATGACAATGACAATATTGGGTTGCCAATACCAAAATTCGTGATTTGGATAAAATAGTTGTAATACAGAAATCTACAGTTTCAAATATATACATTAGAAAGGAAGAAAGACATTTAATTAGTTAAGTGTCCAACTTGGGAAAGAAGAAAAAGAACAACAGAGTAAACCCCATGAAAGATAAAATAAGAAATGAGCATGAGTTAATGAAACAGAGAATACACAGTGATATTAAAATCTCTGCAAAGTCAGAGTATCTATCCCTTTAAGTGCTAAATAGAAAGACAAAATATTTTTATGAACCAATGTAAGTGATGAGTGGCTTATATAATAATGATATTTTAAAAACCTATCAGATATTGGCTACTCTGAACTAGTTAATCCTCAACACAACTCAACAAGGGATTGAGTATTATTGTACACACTTTAAAAATGAAGAAACTGAGGCACGGAGAGGCTAAGGAACTGGCTCAAGGTCCCACGTGTGGTAAGTAGTGTAGCCAGAATTTGAACACAATTTTGCTGATCCAAAAGCCCATGGTCTACTACTCAGATTCAGTGCTTTTTTTTTTTTTAACTTTTAATTTTGGAATAATTATAGATTCACATGCATTTGTAAGAAATACTGCAGAGAGATCACATATATCTTTCACTCAATTTCCTCCAATGGTAACACTTTGCATAATGATAGTATATCACAGGGAACTGACATTAATATAGTCCATTGAACTTTTCCAGATTTAACCAGTTTTAAGTACTCTCATGTGTGCATATGCATATAGTTCTATAAAATTTTATCATGTGTAGATTTGTGTGACCACCACCACAGTCAAGATACAGAACAGTTCCATCACAAACATCTTTGTGCTATCTTTTGATAGCCACACTTGTTTTCCTCCTTTACTTCTTTAATTCCGTAACTCTGTTCCTCATGTCTATAATTTTGTCATGGTATGAATGCTATATAAATGGAATCATACAGTATGATGAAATTGGCTCTTTTCACTCTGCATAATTCCCTTTGGGTCCATCCAAGTTGTATATGTCAATGATTTGTTCCTCTTTATTGCTGAGTAGTATTCCATGTTTGGACTATGTTTGTTTAACTATTTCCCCACTGAAGGACACTAGGGTTTCTATGAGACAGGAAAAACAAAACTGCGTTTCCCTCTAACATGCAACACAAACACTTCTGTGACCAAATGTGGGGTGGGGGGTTTTCCCCCATAACCAGTCTTCTGACACCAGCTGTGTGGCCCACAATTTAATTCAATTCTGACACTATCCACCACCTGGAGTTAGAGGCGGATCCCATAGGTTAAAGACTCAGCCCTACAGGACCATGCCCCACACTTCAGATGCCAATATTAAGTCTGGGCCTCCAGAACTTCTGACCAACTAACCATAAATTGAGGGTTCCCACTCCTCCCTCCTCGAATTTGATCATCTGCTAAAGCACAGAACTCAGCAATGTGCTTTACTTATGTTCACTGGTTTAATATAAAACATATTAGAAAGGATACAGATGAACAGCCAGACAGAAGAGATGCACAGAGCGAGGTATGGAGAAAGTGGTGGAAAGCTTCCATGCCCTCTTGGGGCACAATAACCTCCATGAGTTCAGCAATCCGGAAGCTCTCTGAACCCTGTCCTTTAGGGTTTTTACAGAGTCTTCATTATGTAAGCATGATTGATTAAATCACTTGGTCACTGGTAATCAACTCAACCTTCATCTTCTCCCTTCCTGGAGGCCATGGGGGTGGGGCTTAAAGTTACAATCCTCTAATCACATGGTTGGTTCCTCTGGCAAACAGCCTCCATCCAGTAGCTATCCCCACCCCCAAATCAGTCATCTCAGCATACAAATGGACACATTTCACTTCTGAGATTACAAGGGTTTTAGGAACTCTGTGCCAGGAATGGGGACGAAGACTAAATATATATATTTCTTACTAAAAATCACAATATCACAGGGTTGTTTCTAGTTTTTAGCTATCACAAATAAAGCTGCTATGAAC